GGTGAAACATTTTACGCCACGTTAACTTGACTAATTGGGCCTTGTAATGTAGTTTCGCTTAAAATAAGTTATTCAAAAAAATGAACGTGCAAATAACTTAGATACTTACTTGTTACCTTAGCGCCTTACATATTATACCGTTATTAGAGAACTTGTGGCTTTAGACTATTCAAATCTATAGAGGACTAACGTGTGTGCCTCGTTTCCAGTACAAGGGTTCTCCAAGTCTCTACACTCACCATACGAAACAATAGCATTTATTCTCGCATTCTGTGATTCTACATAACTATTATGTGCAAGGTATTATATGTATATTGGTTGGACTGATTCTAACTTTAGATATTTATTCTTTTATTTAAACTTTTTGTACTAAAGGTACTAACGGTGCTAGTCATAAAGGAAATTAAGTACGTCAGTATGTATAAAATAAATATAATTATACAGACGTGTGCAGTCCGTCAATACAATACACACTGCAGTAGTACGGTTTTCTTCGATTTAGTTCACATTCAAAAATAAGAATAGGTAATATGCCTAGCTCTGGAAGATTTATAGGCTATTAATACACTTGCGGTTCAATGTCGCATTATACATAGATAATTTTATGTAAGTAGTTATCTGAAGTAGCAGTTTTAACACGGTAAAAGTAAAGTTACGGTTCAGCCTATATACGTCCCACTGCTGAGCACAGGCCTCCCCTCATTTATGAGGGGGATTTAGAGCAAGGAAGTGTCCGCCGCGCTGCCCCAATGCGTGTTGGCGAACTTCACATGTCTTCGAAATATTTTTTTTCTTATACCTACCTCAGACATGCAGGTTTCTCCACGATATTTTCCTTCACCGCCGAACACGTGGTAAATCAGCACTTAAAATTTCAAATAACAATTTAATTCGTGCTGGCTGGAATCTAACCCGGGTTACTCGTTTAACACGGTGCCTGACTACTATTCTACCTGGTGATAAATGACCCAGACAGTAAATGGCACTGCCATATAGCAACAGAAACCTATTAACTATTGCCTTGAAGATACTCAGATTGTAATCGGACGGAAAAACAGACGCAGGCAAATTATTCTACTCATTTGCTCTGCCTATGCCTTACAGATGATGAAGCAGGCCCTTGGTGGTATAACATACAATTGCTCTAGGGTTAACTAAAATGATGATTCATGGGATTTGTGTAATAAATTAAATACCCTTAGTATTATTAACTCTTTATTCTCCTGAATTGTCGAAATTAATATTACAATATTGAATGCGGGCTTCATATACAATCACCCAACTATTTTGCTTATGTTAACCACGACACAGTCACATGCGCCGTGCCTTCGGTGACGTTATTCTGTCAATGGGTATCCGTATTTAAATTGATGGAAATATACATGTGAGGAAGATTTAGAAAATGTATACCTAAAGCAAAAAATATTTCTGTTATTAATTAATTACGATTCAATTTACTTTGTAAAACCAAAGCCATAACATTATTTTGAAAATTTACCCACTACATGTCACGTACCTTAGCACGGCAAGTCTCATTACATAAATACATAACGTAAAACAAAAAAAAATATATAAACAAACTAATAATGCGCCACATAAAATTTTCACGACTATTTACAATTACTTAGTTTAAGACATTTTAATTTCTATTTTCAAAAATATAGATATACGTACATACATACATAGCTACATTTATATTACGATAAAAATTGATCGATTATTTAGAATTAACCTAACAGAAGTCTTGTTAACATATTGAAAGTAAAAGATCAAAAGAGGAGTGTAAACAAAAGTGATATGCTATTTTTATGAGAATTAACTCAAAAACAAATATATTGACAAAATATGAGTAAATTAGTTTTATTTCAATAAATATGGAAGGATATTTAGGTATTTATCAATACCTTTTACCATACAAAATACTAGGCATTATGGCAAGACAGCATTGCAAATGGAGGGTGTATATAATGTATGAAGCAAATTGCTTATTGTTCCACGAGAATTATCTGTGGTTCTCTGTGTACGAGAAAACAATAATGGAAACTTAACATAAATCACTGGATGCGCGTGCACAGCGCGGCTAATAGTATTAAATTGTCCTCTGTTAAAACGGAAATGTAATGTTCAAAATATATTTATAACGACGAAACCATACCGGATTTGCACAGTCCCATTATGAAAAGATAACGATAACTTATTAAAAACAACGAAAACGGCAAAATTCAAATCAATTTATTGGGTAACAACAAATTTTTCGTATACACACCTAGTTTCCAACATTACCCCTCAATGCAATATAGTGTGTATGTCCTGTATATTTGAACGTCTTCAATACAATCGATTCCCGCTAACAATAATTACGAACAATACTAAGTTAATTAAGCGTTTATAAACAAATACTTTGTCGGGTTTCAACACGCTCAATTTTCTCTACATTATTTATTACCTATGTATTATAATTTATAAAGTCTACTTACACCGATTACTTAAGTACATTTTGTTCGATTTTTAATTCTCGATTCGTAGTTAAAAATTAAGATGGGATTAATAATTTATTACTAACGACAACCTTATTCCGTAAGCATTCTAACACGACCATTACGTAGAGTTTCTTCATGAAGACATCTAATTTATTATTGCACATACCAGACGGCAGCCGATACATTCAATGTAAAGTCACATAATACCGTGAAATTATAAATTAAAAAAGATATATATTTTAGCATTCTTGTTTTCTTTATTAGTTAAATCTATTAGACAAGTAATTTAAAAATAAATGATTTTTTTTAAATGTTGAAGGTTTTTAGGGATAGATCGAAGAATATATGAAACTTAATATATATAATGATAAATATAAAGTTTAAGTCTAGTATTGTGTAAACACCTAAGGAAGTCTTTAAGTAAAATATTCAATACGGTATTTAATATAAGATATTTTCAATTATAACTGAGTATATCACGTAATTTTCGCAGATAGATACAATGGATGCAATACTTGGATTATAATATTAATAAGAATTTTGTTATTCCTAAATCTACGCATTCGTTTTATGTTAATGATATCACGACATTAACTTCCTATAAACATTCAGAAGCTAGATTTTACAAAATGCAAATTAGACTGTGGACAGATACCTGTTGCAATGATTTATCAAAATTAATTGCATATTCCAAATTTATACACGAATTTTAATTAACCTCTCCATTCTACCCTGACATTAATTTACGTATAATGGGTGACTATCAACACTAATTATTCGAATCCTAATATTTTTTTTTATATATTACTTCTGCAAAAAAATATCTTCCCCAAAGAATTGAATGAGAGAATGCGGAAGATTTTGATGCGGTAGGCAATTTCAATTTCAGCATTATTTTGATATTTATAATTTAATTTACACAATGTTAAATTATGATTTAAAATATTTTGGCACAACACGGAATTGATAGAGGATTAATTTTCCAGGCGTGTGGACATTACAAGTGTCTACAAATAAAATTTAATTTATTAATAACGTGAAAGTAGCGCCAAATTTAACGCAAATATTAAACGAATTCCTAATATTTACCAGTCCTCATTTAAACGCAAGCATGTAGCACTTAACTTTAATGAATATTCTATAGGTAGAGAACGATATTGTTTAAGCATTTGTCCAGTTCAGTATTTGTTCGAAAAATGTATTAGATTAAAAGCGTTGAAGTGACTAAGAAAATAGGTACAATAGGCAAACGGCCTAATTTAATTCTATTAAAGATTAAAGGTATACGACGTGTAACTAAGGTCTTAGGAAATACACCTTACAAAGTCGATCCTATATTACCTATATGTATATTACACTTAATATGCTACTCAACGTTTAAAATTACTTGTAAAATTTTATATTTAGTCACATTATTGTTAATTATATGTATCATTTTTACGTATATAATTTTTGAACATCGGATGACTTCAGATACTTTTGGACAACGCACCATGCACATTTGTTCAAATTACATCAAATGCAGTTTTGTTTCTTTTTTGTAACATTGTTCGATTAATATTTTGTGTTATCTGGACATAATATTGTTCAATTAATATTTTGTGTTATCTGGACACAGAATTTTACTCTAGAACCGCTATAAAAAATATCGCACAATCTTAATATAAACTTTTCACTCTGAAGACAGAAAGTACAAAATTAAGATTCGTTATAACGAAGACTTATCAGCGATTGTACTTCGGATACGTATTTTGTTACAAATACACGTTAAACGCTCTTATGGAATAATTATGTATCTTATATTTATATATTTGTTGATAGATAGTATTTGTTATAATTAAATTAAAATGATCAAAGCGAATCAACAATTTATGAACATAACGACGGAAGGTAATCACTGATCATAAAAATAAATCAACTCTTTCGAAATCAACTGCCAATAATACAACAAACTTTACAATTATTAAAAAAAAATGTGACCCTCATAATCATAACATAACCAGCCCGCCAAAAGCAGACAAATAATAAAATATACATCAAAATGTACATAATATAATAATATCTAATAATAAAAAAATATAACGTAATGAATTAGTATAAGTGGTAGAGCAATAAATACTATGAGATTCACAGATTTAAAATCTTAACTAACAATACCGAAATTCACTCGGAATTCAAATGTAAATCTTAGGACGACACTTACGCGTTTGTATATTTTAGATAAAACATTATTGCAATACATGGTGTAGTTATGGCAACAAAATAAATGCTTAAAGCACATCACCAGCCCGTCCATTAGCGAACACTGAGGCGAGTCTTCCGCACAAAAGGAACATTGATAAGAAGTCAAAACGCCTCCTCAACGAGGCAACACTCTTATTAAACCAGCCGCAAAACATAAAAGTGGATACGAATGACAAACGTTGCCCGCAGATCCCTGTGGACGCAGCACTTCATTTAATCACACTATATGATACAGTATCAGTCAAGATTTCCTAGTGTTTGGGGCAGACGGCTTACGTCGGCACCTTATTCACTTTGAGGAGGTCGTTGGAGCCCTTGTCAATAGGCATCTTCATCGGATCATGATGGTGGGTCACATGATGACCATGGTGTTGACCCTCTAGTTTCGCTTGCTTCTCCTGTTGCTGCTGCTTCATTCTGTCCTGCTCCTCTCTTTCTCTACGCGCTTGCTCGTTTATTTCTTTTACAGCGCGCAGTTCTTTCTTTAGTTTCATTCGGCGATTCTGAAACCATATTTTTATCTGCCGCTCCGTGAGGCACAGGGCGTGTGCGATTTCTATCCTGCGTCGACGCGTCAAGTAGTGGTTAAAGTGGAATTCCTTTTCTAGTTCTAAGGTTTGGAACCTCGTGTAGGTTTGTCGCCCTCGCCGCCGTGGACATCCATTTGGACCTGAAACCAAAAAAAAAGACTTAAATACGCATTTAAAGGTGTTCATTTTAAAATAAATACTAGTAGTAAAAAAATAACAAGTATCTAACATAAAAACCATCACACAAATGATTGTTAGTAATTAAAGTGGATTTAATTTCTATTTTACGTTCCATATATCAATGAACGCGTTTGTTTGGATTCGCAGCGCGAAGCCTCTATACAGGTTATTAACTTTCACTTTATATCATCTAAGACTTTAATGGGCCATTAATATTTTATTACCGCACTAAAGATAATTTTAAATCCATCCGCTACTGACAGTAATCTATAAGTGGATCAAATATCGGAATGTAAAAGAATGCAATAAGGAAAACGATGTTTTAAGATTAAATTCATCAGTGAGAATGAACGTTCGCAATCTTTGTGCGTGCGAATGTAAAAATAAATAAACGTTCGTACAGTAAAAAGTAACGGAAAGGGTTGAGGCCCATTAATGGTCCGCATGGTAACAATAGTGCTTTCTAAAAAGAAATTGCTACAAAAAACAGGGTTGAGTATAGAAGGGTTGTGCAACTTTCTAATGCTTTGTAAGGTGTCTCTATTATCTTTGTAAAGAAAGATGTTTTCGGGGAATTTGTGAAAGTTTTTAACCCTATACTTTAAAAAATTTTAAAAATTCAATAGGTCTTGACGACTTTTGATTCTTAAAGTATTTTTGTTTCAAATCAAAACAGCAAGTATTGATGCATTAAAATGTTTTCCTGTTTCACACATGTGTGTTAACATGTATCTTAAGACGGCGCAGTGTATATAGGCAGGTAAATGCTACAGACACCGGATCCTGGACTGGTTTTCAAGCCAGGCAATAAATAACGTAAGATAAATAGGCTTCCCGACGTGTATAAAATTGATAGCAGCCCAAGAAACGAGCGCGGGAATGTCCATTCGTGTAGGATCGACCTTAGTTACCTGAGCCTTCTTACATTTAAATAGACAGTATTAGTATGGATGTGCATAATATGAAATATTAAGTAAAAAAATAACAGGTGAGACTTCGGTAAAGTTCGTATTACTTTTTATGTTTACATTTAAAAGTATATTAATTAATTTTTTATTTTTTAAATTAATAATATAGTAAGTATGAGCTTGAATTGAGAGCAATATAGGTAGTAAATGATATTTATAGTCCCCATTTAAATAGCATAAAATTTGTCCGCAGATAAATTTGTTTCCCCTATAAAACATTATTCTGTCTAGATTTCATAAGCATCATAAGGATTAGTAAAAAATGGCAGTATTTTTAACCGTAATACAATATAAATAAAATTATAAATTTATTGCAACCAGTGAGTCGATAAATTCATGGAATATTTAGATAATTTTAATTGTTGATTAACTTAAAATTTAAATAGTCATGTCCAAAACAAATCAAGTAGCTCATATGACAATTAATTATTATAATTTATATTGACTATAAATTACTGTAACTGCATTTTTACGGGCGCAAATAACATTTACGGTTCGTGATTATTTCAACAAAAACTTTAAAACTGTTTTAAAATGTTATAAATAGATAATGGTATAATTATACGCCTGTGGTTAGAAGAGTACAGATCTTAGCAGTGATGCGTACAAACGAGATAGAGGAAGTTATTCTAATTTTAAAAAGCAAAGATGGAACCCAAAACACAATACAGGAGTCCCAATAATGCAATCAAAGAGAAAGGTCGTAAATAGTGGTTAGTGGTGCTTGAAAGAGATCCTTCTGCTATACATAATAGAGGCTAAATCTGTATGTGATGGGGGGTGAGATCAGTTGTTTTTGTCAATGGTAGTAATATGTTAGCGGAGCAGGTTGGCCACCCTTCGCACTGTCGCCATGACAACGAACGTTAAGCCACCTCCCGTCAGCTGGGTTCCATTATTCTTTGTTGTATTGTAGATACGGGGCGGTTTGTCACTGACTGATACTTTGTACCTGTAAAGTATTTTTTTTTCATGCTACAGATTTAAAGTTTCTCGACACACGAACTTTATTTACGTTGTTCAATAATTCCCTTTGTTGTGTTTAACAGACGTATTGTTTTAGTGGTTAAATATTATTAAAATCGAGATAAGTCACCTAAAATTGTATTGGTAATTTATTTGTCATGTCATTTTAGAAGAAAAAGTAAAAATAATTATAAATGGACGCTGCTGTGGGTATAATATATCTTGAAGAGGAACGGCATAGCATTAATTAGGGCCGTACATTGTGAGCCGACTTCGGGCCGACTATAAACATACAGCGACAAGTCCTGCCTCTTAACTTACCTCGCTTTTTTCTCCGAAATAAATCTCACGGAATGTTCTTGCTTATTTATTATTTTATTTAACTTTGTATCAAAACCTGCCCGCTTTTATATGAAACCAGTTCCACAGTGCGTTTGATTAATGTGCCACCGGCGGATCGGAATATTAAAAAGGTACGATTGTGAATTATAACAGAAATATTGTCCGGTAAGACGGTAATTTATAGAACGAGTAATATAGGTGAGCTTCTGGAGACTGGTCAGGGAGCTAGTTTTAATTGAAATAACAGAAACGCCCGGATATTACTTGGCAAGATTTTTTTAGGGATTTTTTTTATTTTTTTTTATTCTTCTAATATATAAAAAAATATTATCACATTTATACTAAATTGTTAAGAATAAATTAAATATTATATTTTTTACGTGTATTATTTTCTGTGATAACCTAATTCTAAAATTATTTATAATCAATATCAGACATTTTAGTAACGTAAATTTCTTCTGTAAATATTGTTTTATGATACGCAAGTATTCAGCTATTCTCTAAACTATTTCGTTTCGATTTCAAAATCGCGTTACATTTAGCTTACGTGAACTAAATCACGCTATGGAAGCCGTGGCACGCATTAATAAATTATTTAATCAAGTATTTTAACTGAATCTTGTTACGGATGATATGTTCTAGTTTACAATCAAACTGTATATATGTAAACTAAATTTAATGGTGGGCATATTGTAGGTACACGAATTTTATAATATATTTAAATAAATAAATACCTACATAATTTAAATTAATATAAAACATAAATTATGAATAAAATATATAAAATATAGTGCTCAAAACTTTTTTGTGATATGTAATATATATTTTTTAAATTTTGCCGCAGAACATCTTACTATATGTTGCCGTCGTATCCTTTGATGAGACATTTTAGCAATTTGCCTCACTCGCATCGCTAAAATGCACCAATAGAACATAATATGGTCGAACATATCATGGTCTGATTCTGCTCAAAACAAAGTATCTAATAATAATTAATTTTAAGGTAAGATGAACCTTTTGACGTAACCGACTTCAACTTCACTAATAATAACTTATTTTTGGAGTCGTAAAAATTTAAGTTGAAATTTTAAAAAGAGTTTATTTTATGTGAGTTATCAATCCAGTATAAAATTGAAGTAAAATTAAATTTTCTTTTTCTCTCATATTCTAAACTGTTATTGTAGCTTTTTACTGGAATATTGATAATTAAGTAGTTAATTTACATTAGTATTTTTTTAGATTTATTTTACCTATATGAAATGTTAATATAATATAAAACGACAAGGGAAAGCAATGTAACTGTAAGTTAGCAAATGCAAGGCAAATGCACAAAAACGACTTTATAAGCAAATAACAATCAGAAAAAATAACCGCGTCCACTGGTTGGTGAGGGTCGTGTCTCTACGACCTAAACACAAATCACTTATGTCGCTGAAAATGCCTGTAATTCTATTTTTCTCAATGTGTTTAATTGCTGTACGTAGGTCAAATTAGATAATTTTACTTATTATTGGTACAATAAAGGTAATGTTGCCATTTTGGATACACAATACACTTATATTATCCATACCTATTATACAACATTCAAGACTAATTACGTACGATAAGTACAATCACTTTTTCATATCGTAATTTCTCATTGGAGTTTCATAATTTACTATTTATCACCTTTTATTTTAAAATAAAAAAGGTTTGTTCAGGTACACTTTCCTATATTTACAGTATTCGTATTTTGTACATAGTATATTATAATATTATGTTCACGTGGATATAAGATATATTTATTGAAAACGGGCCAAATTAGGAGTACCCTTAACCGACGAGCATGCATGCGTAGGTGTATGGATGTGAAGGAGGCGAGAGAGGTGTGTCAGGATCGTGCCAAATGGAAGTCTGTAGTCTCTGCCTACCCCTCTGGGTGACAGGCGTGAGTGTTTATGTATTTTATGTATAAGCGAGGTAGGTGTAAGATATATTTAGGAATATGTTACTAAGTATTTGCTTTTCAATTCCAAACAAAAAAATGAATAGACGATCAAATTGTTGTAAGTAAATCTTATACAAGGAAATGAAATACAATATTTACTAGGTTGTTGCTACAAAATAAGGCACGAGTTAAGTTTTTCTTTTCGAATTATCTTTTGATATTTTCTAAATTTCTGAAATCTGTATGTACGAAGCTAGGTTGGTACTGTCTTTCCAGTCAGCGCAAAAATCCAATTTACTCACTAAAGTTTTTCTTTATTTTGTGCTTTTAGATTTTGTGTTAATTAATATGATGGACCGGTCACACATATCCTGTTGCATGTTAATAAAGCTCGATTAAGTACATATCTGATACATTTGAAGCCATATTCCACTCACCTTGCCCGTAAAGCTATCTATCCTTACAATCTAAAAAGATTACAAGGGCAGATAGCTTTTATTAAACATTTAATTAAAAAACTGTTACATACCGTACTTAAAAAGGGCAAGCAAATTATACTTCACATAGTGTAATTTTAATATGAATTCGCACTTGTAGACAGTAACGTATAGGTTTAACTGCTTTTTTTTTTAGAAAATTGCAGTGACAACCTTACAGTCCACGTGACGTCAAGTGATTATTGGAGTCAATGGACACCAATAACCAACTTCAAACAATACAGATGCGTTGTCATTCGGAGGTTTAATATGGAATATCT